CCGGCCGAATAACAATAAGCCGAAACGTGCAACTCTAGTTTCTATCGAATCCACAAAACGACTAACTCGCTACTGTAATGTCGACAGTAATTTAGAGATGTTTCTAATACGATTATTGTTTTGGTTGTTAACATAAATTTACATTCGAATGATGATAACAAATTTAGGACTAAATAAAATCTATTAGATTAATCTAGGTGAACAACAAAGTATTTTGTATATTTCATCAACGAATTAATATAACAACGGATCATTCAAAAATGTTTTTAATAAGATTATTTGTGTGTATTGGTGTGTGATTAAGATAAATTAATAATATACAAAGGATAAAGTATAATTTGTAATCAGGTCAATCAATATTTAACGTGTCAAACTTTTTAATACATATGCCAACATTAATTTATAGATTTTTCTAATACGATTATCGTTTACATATTAATATACATTTTTATTCCAAATATAAAATATATTTGAAATATTTTCATATTAATACGAATAGCATAGAAAATTAATAGTATATCATAAAATCATTGTGAAACGTACATAATTACAGTAAAACATTATTGAAAACTAATTGAAAAACAAAAAAAAAGAAAATTCAAATTCTAAATTTGGAAAATAATGAATACTTCTGAAGTGAAATATTCTGTGATAACATAAGCATGAATATGTATATGATTATGTGATTTCTAAAAAATTGAGAACATTATATGTATATAACATTTTCATAAGCTTACATTTTATGTATAAAATATCAAGGATAATATCAGCGAATAAAATTTGTTTAGATTATTTACACAAAGTTTATATATACACTAGACAGATTTGACATACCGAAGTAGGACAGTGTCAGTTCTTTGTTTATCTCCGTCCAGAGTATCACGCGTTACGTATTTTCCTGTGAATATTCCTTTCTCCAACTCGATCGAAATTCTACTACTTTATTAATTATTATTACATAAACTGAAATGTGTACTTTAATCAATTAATAGTAGTTCTACTCTATATGGTATCTCATAAAATTTAAATTATTAAACTTTGATCGATATTTTGTATTATATTGTTTTCAAATTTTATTAAAACAATTGGAAATATTTTCTTTCAAAATCAGTATCAAATATTCTTTTTTATTCTTTTTTACAGAACAAGAAGAAGATAATAATGAAGTAATTTTTGGTTTATTTAAATGATTATAAAAAATATGTTATTTTTAAGTTTATCAAGAAAAATGAAAGAAATTTCGAAATTATTTCCTTAAACAAATGAAATTACGTTTTCAAATATTTGTTTGTAATTTCTAATACAGGGAATGAATTTTAAGTAGTACGAACAGAGAATACATTATATACGGTTAGATATTTTTTTAAATGTACAATATATAAATTAAGATAAAATATATGTGTGTGTGTGTGTGATTTTATTTTTATTAACGATGATGTTAAAATAATACAATTAACCAAATGAACAAAGTAGACGCGAGAAAGTCACGTTCTAAGTATTTAAATATTGTAGATAATTTGCACAAGAGGATATTACAAACTGAAATATACCTTGTAGTAAAACGAAATGAACTAACTTCACTTTTCCAACCTTACATATCCTTAAATATGTAAATGTTTGAAACCATGAGAAAGAGAACAGTAACAGCTGACTGTAGATTTACACAAATAAATGATAATTAGACAAAAATAGGAAGTAACTGGAAATGCATGGTGCAAGAATATTTCCTACTTCATGGAAAATTCGATAAATTCTTGCTCAGGCAAGGATATGAAAACTTCAATTCTACGACAAAGAAGATTATAATTTATTCATCGACCAATCGTCAAAGCATTTACGTTTCAGGATTCTAGCTTCAGTGTAGAAAATGATGAAGATAAAGAAGGGTTGAATTGAAGTATTTACATTTACTTTTTAAATTATTTTTCATCGTAATGCTTGTGCCTAAGGTCAGTCCAGAGTGTGCATTGAAATTTACTAAACTTGGTGTATCACCATTGGGTTTTTGGCCGCCATCAATAAACGCTACCAAAAAGGAACTCATATTTCGTGAAATCAGATGGTGGATATCGTTCTTAATTATTTTATTGTTTTTATTCGCTGAAATCTATGGAATACGGAAACATTATCAAGATTCGGTGATAGTGACCCAATCAATTTGTTTTTGTATGGGTTCCTCACAAATTTGGATTAAAATGATTATTTTTAAAAGTCAATCATCGAGACTTCAGGTAAATCATTGATTTATTATTATTAAATACACATTTGTCCCTTGATTCAGTCAAAAACATATAATAATTAAATTAATTAAATTCAACAAAAATTTCTAACGTGCTAATTTAAACTGTGTATGATAAAAGAACAAATCACGAATTAACGCGAAGTAACGCGTAAATCAAGGGACATTTATAATATATTCGTTAAAAAAAGTAAAAAGAAAAAACAAGAAAAAAGAAATGGAAAAATATGACTCGTAGATGGTAACCATTGAGATGGAAGACTTCATCAAAAAGATGAACACCTTTGAGAGAACGATTCTGCAGAGATACGTCGACAAAAGTGCGATGTTTCATCTTGCGATGACATTTAGTTATTACACGATTTGCGTGGCCTTCATCATGGGACCTATAATATTACCACGTCCATTTCCAACTTTTGCAGAATATCCGTTCGAAGTAAAATCTCACCCGATTTACGAAATCATTTATTTGCAGCAAGCATTCGTTGGGATCCAAGCAGCCGTTGGTGTGACTATTGATTGTCAGGTTGCTTTTTTACTTTGGTTTACAGGAGCTAGATTTGAAATGTTAACGATTCAATTAAATAATATCACCAATGAACACGAATTAAGATCTTGTATTAAATTGCATGTCTATTTATTAAGGTAATTTTTTATTAAAGTATATATATGTTCGTTTGTTATTAATAATTTATATTGATATATTACAACATTGTTAATTAATATTTTAAATTGGCATCGTTGGGTCGTGAGTTAAGATTTGTTATCTTTTTTTATTTTTTTTTTTATTATTTTTAACCCTCAATGTAAGAGTAAATCAGCATTGTTCAGTCACGAATAAAAATTGTTCAATATTTTATTTAATCATAATGTTAATAATAAACCTACACACACTCTGTGAAATAATTAATATTAATTAGAAATATTTTTGTGTGTTTACGTATTATCTCAAATTTTCCAGATATGCAGAAAATGTTGTTAAATCGATTCGTTTCATCATACTTACCAGTATTGGTGTTTCATCCATATGCATAGTGTTCGGTGGAGTGGAATTTCTCTTTGTTAGTTATTTTTTTTCTTTTCGTTTCTTTTTTTTTTTGACATTTCTTTCTTCTATTGAATTGTTGGAATTAATGATTGGTTATCGCAACAGGCAGATTCGATAACACTGAAACTTCAATTCGTTTCGTTGATAGCTGGATCGATCTTTGAATTGTTTTTATGCTGCAGACCTTCAGATAATCTGATAGAAATGGTGAATAAATTTTTGAAAATATACGCAGTTAATTTTATAATAACCATCTCTCTCTCTCTCTCTCAATTCGATCAATTTTAAATTTTATATTTAAAGTACAATAACAAAAAACAAATCACAAATATAATATTTTGTTATAATTTATATCAATTAAATATTATATAGAAAAAAATAATTTTATGTATCCACGTCAAAGATGAGTTGCAGTATACAAAAATTATGAAATTAATATCCTTGAATTTAATATAAAAAAAAAAAAATTACTAATTATTTATTTATTTATTGGATCGCAGAGTTCAGCAGTGGGATTAGCGGCATACGAATCTAATTGGATCAACAAATCCCCAAAAATGAAAAGCAATCTATATTCGTTAATGCAAAGATCTCAAAAACCTGTGATTATATCGATCGATGGTATTTTACCTCCGTTGTCCTTAGAATATTATCTATCGGTAAGGTACACAAACAGGATAACTTCAAATGCTGAGTGCAAAAGTACACGTAGAAAATTTCATTCACTCCTTTGGTAAAAGATACTTCCATTCAATCAATGAAATCGATAATACAGTACTCGCAGTTTGCACAAATACAAAGTAATACTAATTTCCATTCGTCGGTATTTCTACAATCATATAAATGATCAAATTATTATTATTATTTTAATATTTAATACATAAATGATTGATATAAGAAATCTTTTTTTTGTTTGCAGTTTTTAAATGTATCCTTCCGATACTTTACAACGATCCGAGCCGTTTTTATAAAATAATATTTAAAAAATATATGAAACATTATCGACTCCAAAATATTAATAATATAAATCACGTAAATATAATATTTAAACTATACTTACATTATTAAAAATATAACAAATGTTAATGTAAATATGAAATATTTTCAAAAAGTAAATAATATTTTATTTCTATTTCTACGATCACTTTTTAATAACTTCGTATCTTCATCCTTGTATTCTTTATTCATACATAAATACGAATATTCAACAATATAAATTGGATTTAAAAAACAAAAAAGAGTCAACAATGTGTAAAATGAATGAACTAAATTTCATTGTAGAAAGAAAAACGTCAAGTTACAAACTAAATTCAACTGTTATATACAATCTAAATAATTATTTATTCTTCTCTCTCTCCGTATGTTAGAATTTTCCAATTGCAAAATAACACGTAAGAAAACTTATGCGAAGGTAAAAGGGTAGGAAGAATCGCTTATCTACTCGGAACACAATAATTTAAGATAATTATAGATACGTGTTGTAAGATACGTGTAGCGTGCAAAGAACACCTAACTAATTTATAATCCCTTCGACGATTGGAAATAGTGAAAACACATTTCAAGAGAGAATTCAAAATTAGAGTTTACGTAAGAATATCGAACGGACAATAAACAGGAATATTTTCCAATCATTCGTTAAAATCATACAAATTCTGAACAACATATCAGATCTTCGTGAACATTGAACAATTTTCTATTCGTGTTAAAGGTTCAGGTCAGATTGTCAATTCGGTCAGGTGAACAAAATAAATACAAATTATATTGTCATGAAGTATACTGCGGAAGATGCGATAAGATTTACTAAACGCAGCGTCGCTTTATTAATTTCATGGCCACCATCGATAAACGAATCAAAAACAAAATTGTTCTTTCTCGATATATATTTTTGGGCATCATTTATCGCAGCTCAAGCAAATTTTATCGCATTGGGGAACGCGATATACGTTTATCGGAATAATGTAGAAGTTATGATACGAATAGCATGCTCATGCACGGCTATTATACAAATGAGTATAAAAATGCTTGTATGTAGAATGCAACGTTCGAGTTTACAGGTGTAATAAAATAATATATTAACTGGTATTATTTAATTATTGAATTCGAACGATTTAATATTAAATTAATTTCATCGTTTTAGTCAATAGTCGTGGAAATGGAAAATATTGTTAAACAAGCTAAACCATACGAAGAAACGATACTAACGAAATATGTGGGCAGATGTTCTACACTTCACATATCTCTTACCTTTGGCTTTTATTTAGCTGCTACAAATATTGTTCTGGGACCAATATTTTTACCACAATCATTACCAACTTTTGCTGTTTATCCGTTCAACGTGGAAATACATCCCACATACGAAATTGTTTATTTTGTACAAGCAATTAGTGGAATACAAGCATCTTCAGGTGCATCGATTGATTGTCAAGTAGCTGTTTTACTCTGGTTCGCTGGTGCAAGATTTGAAATGTTACAAATTGATATATCAAATATTGTAAACGAGTATGATCTCAAATCGTGTATCTCCAAACATCGTCAAATTATCTGGTAATTTTTTCACTAAAATCAATTATATACTATATTTTTATTTTTACGATAAAGTAAAGATTTGTCTTTTTTTTTTCATTTTTTAGTTATGCAGATAACGTGGTCAAAACTGTACGTTTTGTGATTCTTACTAGTGTAGGTACTACGACCATATTAATAGTATTCAGTGGAATTTTACTCTTTAATGTTAGTATCGTTTTATATGCAAAAATAATTTATAATATTAATCATTTAACTCGATTATTATTATTATTACAAAGATAAATCATATTTACTTATATTTAATCATAATTACATTAATTATAAATATAATTGTTTTAAATATTGGAAATAAGATTAACCTTAAATATCAAGCATAATTCATACCCATTTGTAAAATGATTTTTCTTTATTATAGACGTTGCTATTTATTTTCATAACTTTTAATGTATTATTTTTTTTGATAATAGACAGATTCAGTGACTATCAAATTTCAATTCCTCGTTTTGGATATAGTCGCTATTATTCAATTATTTATTAACTCGAATCCGGCTGAAAATTTAATTGAAATGGTATAGTTATTTCACATTTTTAAAATAATCATAAGTATAATTGATCTCTGTACAGTTGATTATTTTATTAAAAATTTTTTATGACAGAGTTCTGAGGTTGGATCAGCAGCTTATAATCTAAATTGGGTTGAACAATCACAAAAGATATCGAAAAACATACTTTTTCTCATTCAAAGATCCCAAAAGCCAGTTATAGTCACAATTAGCGGATTTTTACCAATATTATCTTTATCTTATTATATGTCGGTAAGCTTTTCGTTACTATAAAAATGATTAGATTGTTCTAAAATAACACATGCTTTTTTTATTCTTTCAAATACATCGATTAGTTTTATTATTATAATTATTTCAGTTCCTGTCTTCGTCGTTTTCATTTTTCACAACAATGAGAGCTCTAATTAATTAAACATTTCAATGTTTACTATTTCTGTTAATGCACATGTAGAATCTATAATGATGGAAACGTAGAAATGTTAATCAAAAATTAGATTTCAATAATAAAAATCTGTTGAATATCATTTTCTCATTTGAAATGTAGTAACATAAATATATATTTAATGAAAAATTAAGAAAATTAATTAAAACTGTAGATAAAATAATCGAATTCGATGGTAAAATAGAAATCCTTTATTTTTAATTAAACTTAATATCCAAAGATATATGCTACTTGAATGAAATGAGAACAACCTAACGACTTTTAACGTTTCTTGGCCTTCGAAAGGTCTTTTTAAAGTTTGAGCAAAAATAACGTTCGTGATCTAGCGAGTAAATCGTAACTGGTGAAAAACGTAAACAAAGTTAGATTTTAAATCGTTCATTCCTGAACATTCGAAAAATCTACGAATCGTAAAATTACACCTTAGTGAAACTCGTAGATACTTAAGTATATACTCGAGTACGTGTATATGCTCGTATACCGTGATACGGTGACTCGCATTTTCGTTTCTCGAATATAATCCTCCTTACTTGCACGACCTAACACTCCTTTCAACACAAATCTCGTGCAACAGTAATCCCACTTTAGTGCCAACTTTTAGACATTTCACCTTCCTATGCATACGATATATTCTACTCGGCATTATAAGAATCACGCTAAAAACATCAATGTTCTAATTGTCTATTCAAAAGAAATTTATTATTCCTCTACTCTAAATTCTTTTAGCATTTTATATTTTAAAAAAATTCAAATATAATAGAAATTCATAAAAAAATACATTTGTAAAATTAATTACATTATATAAATTTGTTTTATTCATTTATTCTGATACCTTAATCAATATTAAAAATTTCTTTAGAAATATTTCTAATATTGTAAATTAAACTAAAAATTCGATACTTAAAGTAAATTTCCACGAATCCAATTCACAAACTTACGTTTAATTTATGTTATTGTTAACCTTAACATACATTTCAAAAATTTGTTCTTAAAAAGAATGATTTCTCAACTGTCTGTTTCGAAATAAAAGAAAAAGGAGAGCTCGCTCATCGTATACTTGGAATTACCACTTCTTAATAACGCGAGAAAAAGAAGTTTATCGACTACTAAAGTGAAACAATGAACGATATAATTATGTGAAACATGATACAACGTTATTTACTTATTCATGTAAAAGAAGTTCGACGAAGGAAGATCCGGAAGAAACCGCTTAACTCCTTTCCACATAATAATTTACGATAATAACAGATATGTGTAAGAAACGAAACATAGCGTGTAAAGAACTTCTAACTGATTTATTACCTTCATCGGAGGGCGATAATAGAAATTACGTTTTATGGGGAGAATTTGAGATGAGGATTTACGTAAGAATATCGAGCGAACAATATACGAGAATTTCTTCGAATAATATGTTATAGTAAAATCGAAGAAGGAAATACTTCATTTGGTTTATCTTTAAATACAAACTATTTCTAACATATATTGCCAATAACGTTCAAATCAATCACATTAATAAGAAGATAATTCTATTGTCATGACATTTACACTGGAAGAAGCATTAAAATTTACGAAAAGAAGCGTAGCCTTGTTAGTTTCTTGGCCACCGCCAATGAACGCATCTAAAACAAAATTGTTTTTTCTCGATTTATATTTTTCTATTTCTTTTCTTTGTGCTCAAACGTTGGTATTAATGTTGTTGTACGGTATATACGTTAATCGAAATAATTTAGAGAT